GGGGCCGGGGCACGGAGCGCGGCCGGGACACCGGGTTGGCCTGTGGCGCGTTCCCCTTCTCGCTGCTCGGCTGCCTGGCGTTACTGCTGCTGCCGTCACGCGCCGCCGCCGAGTTCAGCCCCTCCCTCGACAGCGACTTCACGTTCACGCTGCCCGCCGGCCGCCGCGAGTGCTTCTACCAGCCCATGCGCAAGGAGGCCTCGCTGGAGCTCGAGTACCAGGTGCGGAGCTCGCGGGGCCGGGGGGAGGCCGCGGCGCTTCCACCCCGCGCCTGTGGGCGGCCAGGGCGCGGGGAGCCAGAGCGCGTTTCCCAACGGCTCGGGAGGGCTTCCGCGAAAGTAGCGCTGTGGCCCTGGTGGCGGCATCTCTCTCGCCCTCTTTTTTCAGTCGCTATTGCCTTTTTTACCGGCTAAGCTCTCGAGTTGCCCTCCTCCAAATCAGTCGACGTGCAGCGTTGACTCCTGTGACCTTGCAGGGCATCACCCCGAGGCAGAAGCACAACCGCTGCTCATGTACAGAACACATGCTCGCCCATCTTTATGTTAAACAGCCCTTGTCTCAGAGAGAAAAGCTTCTCATAAAGTCTGGTTTAACTAGACTAACGTTCAGATCTTGAAGCCCTTTTTCTCAGGAGAGCCAGGATCTCCAGGCATCTCTGCAAAGAGCTCGCCCTTCCTTATCTAGAAACTCTGAGGGCAGATAAGCCCAGTGTGAGAAGCGGCAGTGGTTTCTGGCCTGGCTGCAGTGCCTCAGGATTTCATTCCCCTGCCTGAGATTGCAAAGCAGGAAATCTGAGTTGCTAATCCTGAGTATTTCCCAATAGCTGTTAGTTACATGCAAAACTGAGCAGGAATCAAAAATGGAGGTGATCAAGCTCATGCTCACCATACTAAGTAAAGCTAAAAACAAACCAGAACCAAACAACAGAAAAAAAAAAACTGTTCTAGAAAGTTACCATAAGGTAATGAGAAAGGCTCTTTCTGGATTATTAAGACAACAAATGTCTTAATAGGGAACTTATTCAAGGATAATTTTCTCTGGCAATAGTACTGATTCATCTTTCTAACTGAATATGTTCAGTCTGAACAATATTCATAAGTTACTGCAAGTAGTTGGGTTGGTTCATTTGGTTGCACTACTCAGTTATCCTTAACTGTTAGCAGCCAGAGCACCAGAATACTTGAGCTGGAGGCATAGGTCATTCTGCAGTGCACTAAGCACTATTCCAATAGAAAGTTTGGATTTAATGTGCCCAGATTATATCATAGCTTTAAAGGTTTATCACTGTGTATGTCTTTAATTTGATCAACTGTTAGCTGTTCATTTTCTCTTTTGGTAGGTCTCCAGTCTTGCTTTCAGTCAGTGCAAACTTTGTTTTTGATTTCATCAGTAAACAACTTCTGTATTTAGACAACTCACTGGAAAACATCCATGCACCCGGACATAGGCCTAGCTAATGTTGCTGTAAACCTGATCACTCTGTGTTTCCTGCTTTGTTGCGGCCTTTCCTGTTGAGAACTTCTAACAACACGACCTGTGCTGTGATACAACTGTAGCCACGTTAGTGCTGCTAAAACAGCACTGCTTTTGTTACGTTGTATGCAGTTACTACCAAACTTGGCTTGAACTCATAGGCAAATTCACCTTCTAAACTGTTCCTAGGAAAGTTCCCTTAGAAACTCATGTCAGCAATGCAGACAGGAATTCCACTGTTTTTGTTGTTTTCCAGGTTTTAGATGGAGCAGGATTAGACATTGATTTTCATCTAATGTCTCCGAAAGGAGAAACTCTAGTTTTTGATCAAAGAAAATCAGATGGAGTTCATACGTAAGTTTTTACCTTTTTATAAATACTTGATGCTTTTTACACGGATCTTGAAATGAGGTGAAGGATATTTTTTGTTTTAATGATAGCTGTTAATAGTGAACAAGAACAATTATTGTGGTGTTTAAAATATTAAATTAAAAATATTAAGAAGCTTGTTGTCAGTCCTATAAATATATGGGAAAGTCCCCTATTTTTCTTTTAATCAAGGCTTTGTAAAAGAGTATAAAAATCTTACTCGTGTTATAGATTTTTTTCTTAGTCATTCGCATTGTTTCAAAAGCCAAATAAAGTAAGCTGCTGCTATTTTCATCATAGCAAGACTTTTAAGAGTAGGCAGATTAGGTTTTACTGTGACTGCAATCTGTAATGTGTATTTAAATTTATTTTCATATAAAAAGGTTACCGAGTTATTCCTAAATGCATGCTTGTCTCTCTTAAACTTGTGTATACAAATCACCCTTTTAGAATCAGTGCTGAAAATGTAGTTAATTTAGTAATATTTTGCTTATATATACAGCGTGGAAACAGAAGATGGTGATTACATGTTCTGCTTTGACAACACATTCAGTACTATTTCTGAGAAGGTCATTTTCTTTGAACTGATCCTGGACAACATGGGAGAAGAAGGAGAAAAAGATCAAGAGGACTGGAAGAAGTTTGTTACAGGCACAGATCTCCTGGATATGAAACTGGAAGACATTCTAGTAAGTGTTTAATCCTAAATTCTTCTGAACATAAGAACATTTAGAAAAACTCACTGTCTTTCAGCCACTCAGTCAGATACATGAAAAAATGCTTTTAGGTTTGACTTCTGTCCCACCTCCTGTAGATGACAAAAGGGTAATTGAATTAAGGAAAACACTGCAATGAAGTATAGGTTTTGTAAGTCAGTTTAACTGTCTACTGGGTGAGAAATTAATACTGCATTAGTACATTATTACTCAGTACATTGTACATATTGCTAGATGTTTATATGAAGTGTCCTTTTTTTTTTTTTTTTCCTCCTTTTAAAAATATTCTTTTGTTGCTTACTAGGAATCCATCAACAGTGTCAAAGCTAGACTAAGCAAAAGTGTCCAGATTCAGAACCTGCTCAGAGCATTTGAAGCTCGTGACCGAAACATACAAGAGAGCAACTTTGACAGAGTGAATTTCTGGTCTATGGTCAACTTGGGAGTAATGGTGGTGGTATCAGCTGTTCAGGTTTACATGTTGAAAAGTCTCTTTGAAGATAAAAGGAAAAGTAGAACTTAAGTCTGTATGGTCATAAAGATATACAGGTGGGGGAAAGCAATAAACTGCAACAGGAAAGAAACAAAAGAAAAATGTGACCTTTCAGAGTCTTTTGAACAGCAGAAGACACATCCATGTTCTAAGTCAGGGGGGGCTTTTTAACTTGAACAGAAGGTCTTGCTCCAAGCTCTTCCATCTTTGCAAGTGCTATTAAACACTTACTTGTTTTTCATGCTTGTAGCACTTGTTATTCATAATGACTAGCTTATGCATAGCACAAAGGATATGGGCATAGGCACAGTAATGTTAATACTGTCATCTTTTTATGTTTGCAAAAATTGCATTTAAATAGTAATTTAAATTTGATTTGTTTGATGTTAAACATTGAATTTAAATCTGTGCCTATATGTTTACAAAACTGGGGCTCAGAGTAGGCTGTGGTTACCATCATTTGTTGTCAATGTTTTTTTTTTTTCTTTTTAAGTCTTCAGTTTTCATTGTACAAGATCATGTAAAAACACTGGGCTAAACACAATTAGAGGTTTTTTTTTATTAATTTTCTCTCTACACAGATGGCTAACATTAGCACTTTAAAGATAAATAAGTGTCCATGTGAAAATGAGTCAGCAGTGAAAAAAATAGAAAAATAGGTGCCATTCATGTTCATAATTCTGTTTTGTTTTATAAGCTTTTTTTTTGTTTTTGGCTGTTACATGAAATCCAAGATACAACTGACTACATGGTGTACAGATGGATGCACACATAAATTAAAGCATGGTTTGTGAGCTCTTAAGTTATTTTAATGTTAATGTATTAGATACATTTTCAGGAAGCCATTTCCCTGTTTGACAGTATATTAGCAATTGTCTACTACAGGTGTAAAACATTGCAGCAGTTAATAGGCCTACAATGACCTACATATCAAAAAAGCAGAGCTGTGCATTTATTTTTTTCCCTTTTTGGTCACCCTAATAGGTCTCAGCTATGTAGCTACATTCACAGGATTATGAGTAAGGAGGCATGAATTAAGGGAGCAATAAGTACAGACCTCAGATTTCAGAGTTAACATGTAACATGACTTAAGGCAAAATTATCCTCAAACTACTGACTTTTAGTAGTATATTGGGAGTATAGAAAACTGACCAAAAAGTTTAAGTATAAAAGAGTGAACTTGGATGTTAAAAAAAAAAAAAACACAACAACAAAAACCCCCAGAGTTTTACAATGTGCCAAGCCATTGAAATTCCGCACAGAAATGAACTACATCATCTTAACATGAAGTGTTTTAAAGACTAAGTGTATTAGGGGTCTGCTCATTCTTGGCTCATCTGGGTATTAACAGCAGAATTGCAACTGTGAGACCTTTTAGGATAAAGTTATTTTAGGGGAATGAGACAGGGTTAATACACAGATGAAGAAACTTAATTCAAATGGAGTAGATGCTAGCAAGGGCTACAGTATAAAGGGAGTGTGGTGCCACCTAGACACAAGGTGACTTAGCAATACTATTTCTAGATAGTTTTTATAAATTACTATTCTTTACAGAACTTAATACCGAGGACGACAAAGACTGTTAAGCTACTTATCCTGTCTCCAAAGCTGCGTCCAAAAGACCATTTCCCTTCATGGTTCTGGATATCTTCTTTTCCCACATGATTTTCTCTTCTAAACTGCTTTTAATTGGCAAGCTTATTCAGCTGGTGAGGACAAATTCTAAGGAAGGGTAGCTCTTCTCCCAATGTGGCAAATATTTTTCTGCCATTTCCACCATATTTCCCAGCAGCAGGTTCACTGAGGTCAACTTTCAAGGTGTGGATCAGATCCCTTCAGGACAGGCAAGTCAAGATTTAAAGGGCTCAAAAAAAAGGAAATCAAAGAGCTTTGTCCTTTTTGCTAAAAGAAAGTGAGCTATCTTCACTTGCATCGCGAAAAGTGTGATGCTCTACTGCAACAGCTCTGTGAAACCCTAAGACATCTACCTCTTATATTTAAGTTACTAGATTCTAGCTTTCAGCTCACTCTAGCAGTGAGCTTTGCCAAGCTTTCCTAGAGCACCTCTCAAAGGATTAAGAACAGAGCTAATCTGCTCTGCCTCTCTCAGAGGTTATTCATCCAGTGCCAAAACAAGCCAGAATGTGCTTGCACTTCGCTTATCCTGTTCAGTGTGGGTAGGAGCTTAAGATGCCCGAGTGCAGGCTTCTGATAAGACACCAGACTAAACTGCCGCAGCCTCTTTGATTAGGGACAGCAGTCTCTGGTATAGGGAAAATAATGCAACAATTGTCAGCAGAGTTCAAGTGCATGAAAGTATTATTTTCTAACTAAGAATTACTAAATTTCCATCCAAGTTCAGCTGGTTATAGAAAATTTTAAACAGGATAAAGATTAACTACTTTGACTTTAGCACTTGGAAAACATTTAAGTGAAGGATTTGGCATTTAAACTTGCAATTAAATAAAATTTCAACTGGATTTTGAAGAGCAAATTGAGTTTGATTGTATAAAATGTACAAAGGAGAATATCAATCTACAATAGTTTCTATTTCTTAATGGATTTTTTATTCAGATTGTGTTTTAAGACTTGCAGATACTGAATAAGATTATGCAAAACCTTAATATTTTCAATAAATGAAGCTTAAACTTGTGTTTGTGCTCTTCATTTTATAATAAAGGAAAAATGCTTTATCTATGAAAACTGCAAAAGCTTGAGTATACCAGGCTCACAAGAACTTTCAGTTATGCAGCTCTTAACTTCTTCCCTCATGCAAATGACCCAATTTACAAAGTCACCAGATCAGAACTGAACCCCATCCTCCATAATCTTTGTAGAAGTGAAGAGCTTTAGTTCTGAAGTGAGATCAGATTATGTCAGCTAGCAAGTCTTCAATTTTTCAGTATTGGCACCATCATTAATAAGTGTTCTGTATTACAATTGCAGTATATCCCTCCCAAGCTGAGTGGCTTTGTTTTGCATGAAGTGAGGGTAGGAGCAATTCTAGGATGGACAGTAGGCACTGTCTGTGCAAAATTGAGGCAGAAGTCAGCAATGCTCCTGAGACTAGTAATGGATAACACAATTCCAAATGTTAGAGTTACTCTTAAAACAGTGTTTTTGCAGAGTACAAAGCAACATTCAGTTACTGCAGTAATGTATCTTTGCCAGTGCTCTAATGGCATTATAGACAGATAATCGATGCCAAAAGAAATAGCCTCTGATTTTTGTTATTCAGCCTCCCCTCACTTGCCATATAAGAATGTAGAAGCACTGTGACATTACTACTTATAAGCTTGCTTGCAATGAAGCATTCTCTATGTCACTATCTCAGGTAGAAATTCTTTCCTACTCTTGTTACCCTCTTCCAAGGTAGACGTTTTTCCAGGCGTTAAAAATTATTCCTAAAGTTTAGGGACTCTCCCTATTTAAAACTTCATCTGAACCTTCCAGATAGAACTCAAGCTGTACTGTCATGTGTCTTACCTGTGTGCAGAATGAACCAACTATTCCATTACTCAGGGCCATTCTAAAGGAAAAAGCCTTCCATCTCGCTAGCATTATTCACAAGATCCCTCAGGTTCTATTAATAACCATCGCTTGAAAATCTTAGGTAAATACTTACTTGGGATAGACAAGGAATTTACTGTTCATTTAACCACTATGAATATATTTTTGTCAATGTTTTAAAAGTGGTGATAGTTAAACCAAAATTACTCTTGTAAATAACCTTGCAAAAACTGATTTCCAGTTAAAGTTGAGCCTTGCATTTTGAGAAAAATCCCACTGACATACTACATTTTAAATGAGTGAAGTAAATTTTAAGAACTGATGAGCTGATAAAATTGGAGCAAATGGCTGGTAGAAGGCACAACAGGTAAAGGTTACCTGTCTCTAACCTGGCTTCCGCTTTTTTTAATATCCTCTGCACATTACGAAGTGGGAGAATGGAACATTGGACCTTGTACCAGAGCTTCCAGTCAAAGCTGCTTTTGCTGCCCCACAGTGCAGGATCTAGGTCCAGACCAGGTGTGGTTTGCCCCTTCTTCATGAAAAGGTGGATCTGCACAAGCAAAGCTGAAGACCAAGCTGGAGTCCAGAGAGTCAAATTAAATGCTTCAGTTACTGTACTTTTGTCCCACAAATCTAACCTCTACCCTGGCATTAGAAGTCAGCATGGCTTTCTTGAAAGTGGTGTTAAGAAACATATGTTGGCTATTTTGCTGCCCCAGGAGGCTGCTTGCTTTGTTTATACTTAAAAATTAACCTCTGGTCCTTTTACATATAGCACTGCAGGGCCCATGCCAGTCACTTCTCTCATTTCACAGTGTTGCAGAAAATAAAAGTAGTAGCTTCTTCAATTACAGCAGGTGTGTCAGTTAAATTGTCAGTCTCAGATGATTCCCCTCAACTGATTAGTTTTTTTTTTTTTTTTTTTTTTTTAAAAAAAAAAAAACTTAAATAGGCTATCAATAAGACAGCACTCTGGTTTATCAAAAAATATGAAAACTTGATTAATCCACCATATGTGTGTTTTGGAAACAAAAGTGAATGCAGGATTGGAGAACTCAAAAGAACCAACAGCAAATGAGTTTTAATAAGTATTGACCTCAGCAGCACACAAGTGCAGTAATTACTTTGGCAAGTTGCTAACTCAAGTAACTCTGTACCCAGACCAAGTTCTCAGAGCACCAAGCTTCCAGCACAGCAAACACAGCATCCAGTTCCCCAGACCAGCAAACTGCTTCTTCTAAATGGTGGGTCCTATATTGCCCAAAGGGCTACAGACCGTGCTAAACAAGACTAATTTATAACCAGACTTGAAATGAGTCAGTGCCTATCAGAAATGGCAATAAGGTTTCCAAATCTAACCAGCCTGTCTGAATCCAGGAGGCAAGAGTAGATACTGTGGACTCTAACTTGCCAAGCATTCCTTGTATCCTTGTTTAAGTTATCATGCTATCTGGTACTAGTTTCCTCACATCTATCTAGTAATTCATATTCGTTCAGAGCAAAAATATTCACACACTACTCAGTTGGATAAGGTTGATACTTGCCTCATAATAAAACCAGCACCATAGTGGCATTTTTTTCTTTATTGAAAAGCCAAATTAGCATATGCTTCTTTATCAATATTCCAAAATTAGCATAAACAGCACTAGATGCCAGTCTCGATGGTCAACATACTCTAGGGTTGGGACTCCAGAAAAAGTAACTCGGGAAAACATCTGTCTGAATTGTTTTAGTGCAGACGGGGATATCCCTGGCTCCAGGTAAACT